TTATCTCAGATTCTCCAGCATCTGCAGTTCCTACTATCTCCAGACTCAAGTCTGCTTGCCTGAGACTCGCTCTTGGAATTAGGCAAGCCATACCAAATAGCAACACTTTCAGGAGAAGAAGGAGAAGTAGGCATTTCATACAGTTAAGAAAGAAGCTTGTGAATCTGTTGGCTGTTTATAATTGATCTCATTGAGTGTAAAAGGGCCTTTGTGATAATAGGTAATAAATTTTCTTTTTGTTCTGCAGTGTACCAGCCTGATGCCAGCAAGCATTCCACTTCTTGAATAAATCACCAATTGTGCTGCCAACAGTGATTGGTTTGTGCTGTAGATATGGCACCAAAACCAAGTGGCTCCACAAAGGCCGAGGAAACTCCTGTCAGGGTGGCAGTCCGAATCAGACCTCTGTTACCTAAAGAAATTCTACGTGGACATCAGTCTTGTGTCCATGTCGACCTCGATGCACAGCAGATTACTCTGGGACGTAACCGGCATTTCCAATTCGATATAATCTTCGACCAGACTGCCAGTCAGGATGAGGTATACAACAGTTGTGTGGAGCCACTGGTTGAGGCTTTCTTTGAGGGATTCAATGCCACCGTGTTTGCCTATGGACAGACTGGATCGGGCAAAACGTATACCATTGGGGAGACTTACATACGTAAGTTATGCACAAAGAGGGTTAGCACTGAAATTTGCAAGCACCTCTGCATCAGAGTATATGGAACATTTGACTCTTGCTGTGGCTTACTTGGTAAATGTGATGCATGGTATATTGCACTGAGTGGTACAGTTTGGATAAGGGCTAGGTTCCATCCTTGCTGCTGTTATCTCAAATGTGGTATTAATGTTATCTTAAATGTTGTCTTATATTAATGTTGTCTTAGGAATTCCCTCCCTAATGGCATTGTGGGTCACAGCCAGTGGACTGCAGCAATTAAAGAAGGCAGCTCACCACCACCTTCTTAAGGGCAACTAGGGATGGGCAATAAACGCTGGCTAGCCAGCAAAGCCCACGTGCCACAAATGAATTAAAAAAAAAAGTTCCCAGTTCTATTGAGAGGGAAATCTAGCCCAACTTCTTGCACCTAATCCCTATCCTGTGATAATTTTTTTCATCCGCGGTCAATATTTATTCCTCAGTGAGTATCACAATAAAATTAATGGTTCAGTCATTTTCTCATTCCTCAGATAATTGTCTGAAAATAATTGCTGGTCAGTCAAGTAGTCATATTTTAATTGTAGAGTAAGTTCCAGGGGAAAACTTTGAAGTGGAGTGTTTGAAGGAGGAGGAATCTGAAGGATATGTTGGTGAGCAGAGTTGATCTATTTTTTTTAAAAAAAGGATATCCTTTTAGACTGATAGCATTTTCCTAGATTTGTTTTATGTTCTACATTGTGGATAGAGTTTGTGCACTGTTGGATTGTGACTTACCTAAATGTTTACTCTACTTTATATCATCCTCAGCTTCTGTTACTGATGATGACGAGGGCATAATTCCCCGTGCTTTGGCAGAGATCTTTAAGCTGATTGATGAGAATGATGCAGTGGATCACACTATTAAGGTGTCATACCTAGAGGTTTACAAGGAAGAATTCAGAGACTTACTGGAGGTGGAAACAGCAAGCAAGGACATCCGTATTCGAGAGGATGACAAAGGAAACACAGGTCAGAGAGTTTTATTTGGGAAAGGTGAAATCAGGTGTGTCTTCATCCAAAATAGACTGTAATAATTAGGAGAACTCTGGATTCAGAAGATAATCTTTGAAGAGAATTTAGTAGGTTATTGTTAGGTTCAGGGAAACTCAGCTGGTCTGGCAACATCTGTGAAAAGTCATATTGGAGATGAAACATTAATGCTGTCTGTCTTGCCACAGATACTGCCTTACCTGCTGAGTATCTCCACCAATTTCAGCTTTTATTTCAGATTTGTAGCATCTGCAGTATTTTTCTCTCATTATTGTTACATTTATTTGGTATGCCAAAGGCAGCTTCTGTTGTATGGGTACTGATTTGCCTTTTCATTAAGTTGTGAATATCTGTTTCATTTTCAGTGCTTTGTGGTGTCAAGGAATGCGAAGTGGAAGGGTTGGATGAAGCTTTGAGCTTACTTGAGATTGGTAACACTGCCAAGCATACTGGGACAACAGAGGTCAACATGCATTCCAGCCGCTCTCATACCATTTTCACAGTTACCATGGAACAGAGACGAGGACTTGGTCGGACCACACGACTTGCTGCCACTCCTGGAGACCTGCTGAGTCCCACACAGGTGATAACTTCTAAGTTTCACTTTGTAGACTTGGCAGGCTCAGAGCGAATTGTGAAGACGGGCAACACTGGTGAACGCCTGAAAGAATCCATTCAGATCAACAGCGGATTGTTGGCATTGGGCAATGTCATCAGTGCCCTGGGTGATCCAAGGAGAAAGGGTTCACATATTCCTTATCGGGATTCCAAGATTACCAGGATCCTCAAAGACTCGCTTGGTGGTAATGCAAAGACACTGATGATTGCTTGTATAAGTCCCTCTTCATTCAACTTTGATGAGAATTTAAACTCTTTAAATTATGCCAAAAGGACTCAGAACATTAAAAACCGGGCGGTGATAAACTTCAAAAAAGATGTGGATTGTACCAATGAGCTAGAACTTCAAATCAAGACTCTTCATGAAGCTATGGAGCACACCCAACAAGTGTCACTGAACAAATGCTTCAGGCAATTGCCTGAGAAGTACATGGCTCGATTGCATGCTGAGAGCTCCCATTATCGGACCTGCACGGATGCTGCATACCGAATTTTTATGGAATTGCAGGGAGACAGGAACCTCACGGTGGATCAGGTGCTAAAAGTGAAAGAGTGGATAACGAATGTGGAAGAGATGCGGAGTGAGCTCTCCACCGCCTCTGGCCTCGACAGTGGTATTGAGTGCAATTCAACTGATGAACCCAAGACTAGAGGTGTATCTAAGCAACAGGTATACCTTTTTAGGATGAGATTCTTTGTATGACTGTGGCAAACGTACCAGCAGGATTTAAGATAAATATAACTTTTTCTTTATTATTTCGAAACCTAGATGAAATGAAATCAAAATCCATGCTGCCAAGATCTGCAAAATCAAAATACATATTCTTAATTCCAAACCCTTTTCTTACATTGAACTGAACCTGGCACCCATCTGCCTCTGCAATTTGTGTATTTATAGAATTATCTATCTCGTTCTCTCACTTATTTTTCTTTACTGCTCCCTGACCAGCCCATTCCATGTGTTCATTATCCACTGTCGAAATAATTTAAATAGGTAGAGAATTGAAGAGATATTTTTCTAACAGTGGATGAACTTGCAAGCTTTACCAATACTGAACTTCCCTATATTTCACCTTTAACAGTTTCCTGTTGGTCAGAAATTCTTTTCCTGATGCATGATTTTAAGTCTGTGAACTTTTCATAGTCTTTTCCGTGCAAATTTTAAATAGGCTTGGATTATTTTCAAATAGTGTCTACTTATATTGTGATAATCACCAAGCATTGTAATTCTGGATTCTGCTCGGCCACACTCTTACGTTTGGAGGGACTGTCGTTTTGACCTATACAACAGTAAGGTGAACTGCTCATAGTTACAGATCTGTCACTGATGGTGATAACGGTGGAAAGAATTTGAGAATTAAATTAAGTGCACTATAAACAAAGGTACGTTGTCTTAAGCCAAATTGTTTCTCATGGTGCTTCGATGCCAAAGTGACACATAGCTCAGTGACACACTTTATCTGTGATGCCTGTGCATGTTATTGTAACCCTCCTTGACCTCCTTTCTATGCAGGGTCCCAGTGAAGTTGGCCAGGACCCTGGGCAAGAGCAGAAGCAGCTTGTTCCAAAACTGCAGGCAAAGGTTCAGCGGCTGGAGGAAGAGAACAGAGATTTCTTGGCAGCCCTCGAGGATGCCATGGAGCGGTTTAAACAGCAGGTAGCAGCCATGTGCCTGGCTTCAGTCACAGTCTTAACTAACTCGGGCATGATCAGAAACAAAGGACGAAAAGAACTTCACTATTTGCAGTGTGCAGGAGAACAATTATAAATAAAAAAAAGCAACTCTATCAGGATTAAAGACAGATTTGCCTGATAAAATCTAGACTGAGAAATAAACAAGCATTGATCATGCCAATGATTAAAAGTTTTTGTATGATTATTCTAGTGGGTGCTTGCCTTCCATACTGTCCATTTTATTCTATGGAAATTGCGATTGAAGTATCTTTTAGATGGTGGCACAATATGGATTGCCAATCCGATATCATCAGTTATATGCAGTGCAATTCCATTGCTGCTAGTGGACTTAAATATTAGATTCTGCATGTAATGGGCAGTCAAACTATATTATTCATTTTACACTGGCATCTGAGACAATTTCCTCACTTCGATCTGTGACCATTGCTAAAAATTAGAAAGCAGCAGTTTTTATATCTCTATAGCCTTCAGTCTACTTCTCACCAAAAACTGGTCCAGCTCATTGGAGGTACCAGTTGACAGCAAAAGGAATTCGGTAATACTGGTCAGAAAAGTTCATGTTTCCTTTCAGTGTTCCTGTTCTAACAGCAGCTAACCCTTTGTTCATAATTTAGTCTCTTTTCAAGAACAACCCTGTTTAGATTGAATGAAAACAAAGTTGCTGGAAAAGCTCAGGTCTAGCAGCATCTGTGAAGAAAAAATCAGGAAGGGTCACCGGTCCCGAAACAAAACGTTAACTCTGATTTTTTCCTTCACAGATGCTGTCAGACCTGCTGAGCTTTTCCAGCAACTTTGATTTCGTCCCTGATTTACAGCATCCGCAGTTCTTTTGGTTCCTGTTTAGATTGACATTGTCATGTTTTTTCTCTTTCATGCTGTCCTGACTAGTTCCAGCATTTCTAATTTTAATTATAGACACATGTAATGTTTGTATCCAGCAGTGACACATTGATGCTGTTGTAGATCTTAGATAATTATTGCAGAAGGGACAGCACCAATGATGCATTTAGTCATCAGGCTTATTTGCTCTGTACCAGAACTGTCTAGTCTAATCAAGTTTCCCTTTAATATTTAACTTTAAGAATTTGAATTCTTGATGCTGCATCAATGAGAGCATTTAATTGTCTTCTGAGATGATGCATTCCATTTTATAATTGCAAATTTTCTTAAAGCTATCCTGACTGTTCTTCTAGTACTAATCCTGTGTCTGTGCACCGAGTTCACTGAGTTTCATATTTGAGGGCTCCTCTTCCAGTTTTTCCAAGGACTACATTTTGTTGTTTTTGGGGAGCTGTTTTTTTTCATAGAGTCATATAGCACAGAGAGCAGACCCTTTGGCCCAACTCATTCATGTCGACCGGCTTTCCTAAATGAACTAGTCTGATGCCTGCCTTTGGCCCAGTTCCCTCTAAACCTTTCCTCTATCCATGTCCCTGTCCAACTGTCTTTTAAATGTTGTAGTTGTATTTGCCTCCAACGCTTCCTCTGGCAGCTCCTTCCATATATGTGCCACCCTCAGTGTGAAAAAGTTGCCCCTGAGGTCCCTTTCCAATCTTTCCCCTTTCATCTTAAACCTATGCCCTCTAGATTTGGACTCCACTACCCTGAGGAAAAGACCTTGGCTATTCATTATTTAAGCTATTCACCTTATCTTTTCCCCTCATGATTTTATAAACCGTTATAAAGTAACCCCTCAGCCTCCTATGTTCCAGGGAAAAGAGCGCCAGCCTCTCTTTTAACTCAAACTCTCCAATCTCAGTAACATCCTTGTAAATCTTTTTTGCACTTTTCCAGTTTAATAACATCCTTCCTATAGCAGGGCTACCAGAACTATATGCATTACTCCAAAAGTGGCCTCGCCAATGTCCTGTATCTAAGGTTCTTGAGTAGATTTGTAGTTTGGGTTGTGGATGCCGTGGTTGGTTCACTTGCCGAGCTGGTTCGTTAGTTTGCAGATGTTTCATTACCCTGCTGGGTAACATCATCAGTGCAGTCTCCAATGAAGCGCTGTTGTGTTTTCCCACCTGGTATTTAAACTCTGGGGTCTGTTGGATAAGGAGAACCACCAGTTCGATTGGGACAACACCAGGATCCTAGGACAGGCCAAACAAAGATGAGCACGGGAATTCCTAGAGGCCTGGTACTCCACAAAGAAGGCCAGCAACGAACACATAGAACTAGACCCTATATATGCACCACTGTGAAGGAAAACCGGAAATGAGGTAATCAAATTCAACCCCAGAGTTTAAATACCAGGCAGGAAAACACAACAGCGATTCATCGGAGGCTGCACTGATGATGTTACCCAGCAGGGTAATGAAACACCTGCGAACTAACGAACCAGCTCAGCGAGTGAACCAACCACAGCAATGTCCTGTATAACCACAACATGACATCCCAGCTGTTATACACGATGCTGTGACCAGTGAAGGCAAGCATAACCAAATGCGGTCTTATCACCCTGTCTAACTGTGATGCCACTTTCAAGGCACTTTCAGTTCTGAGGAAGGGTCGCCGGACCTGAAATGTTAACTCTGATTTTTTTTTCTTCACAGATGCTGCCCGACCAGCAACTTTGTTTTTATCCATGGAACTATTTACCTGCACCCCTAGGCTTCTGTTTGACAACATTCTCCAGATCACTACCATTAATTATAAAAATCCTGCCCTTGTTTGTCTTATCAAAATGCAACACCTTGCTTTTATCTAAATTCAATTCTATTTATCATTCCTCAGAGCACTGGCCCAGTTGATTGAGATCCCATTGTATTCTTAGATAACCTTCTTCACTGCCCACCTTACCACTAATTTTGGTGTCATTTGCAAACTCACTAACCATGCCTCCTATGTTCTCATCCAAATAGCATATGTAAAGGACAAAAAACAGTGGACCCAGCACTAATCCTTGCAACACACTTTTTATTCTCAGTAACTTATCTATTCAGTGATGCTGTCATGTAGTAACATATCTTTTTTATTTCTGTTGACATGCAAGTTAATTTCCAAAACACCACAAGATTTAAATTAGTGTAAGAAAAGAGTCATGAGTTGACAAATGTTTTCATTTTCAAAATAATTGGCGCACACATCAAGACACAAAAGATAAAGTACCTGGTGGTGAGCTTAAACTTAGGGTCGCCATGCCTCAGGCAAGGTTGAGAAGGCTGTTAGCATTACTTTATTGCAAGGCAGCTGTCCAACTGGCTGAGCTAACTGACCTACAAATCAAATACACACAATAAGGTATCACCCTAAATATACCTTCTGAGCACGTATTAAGTTGAAATATTTAACCAAGCAGTGTCAGCCCTCTTGATTTAATCTTGGATTTCAAACTCAGATTGATATTTAACAATCAACAGTGTTCATTGCAGTAGGATCCATACTCTTTTCCTGAGAGTAGTGGCTCCTGAACGTATGCAACACTAAACTAGACGTTTCACATTAATTTCCAAGGAATTCATTAAGTCAGTGATTGAATTTTTCTTGCATCCCAGTTAGCTCACATCCCATTATTGACAGGTTTAAAACTGTTCTCTCTCCTTTGCAACTTCTCTCTATCCTCCCATTCAAGCAACCTGCTTCTGCTCCCCCACCCAGTCTCTTGTGGTCTCATTCACTTTTTCCCCATCCTCATTCTCTTAAAGCCTTCTCATTCTCCCCATACTGCCACCTCTTCCCAGCCATTCCCTCCTCTGGCTAAACATTGGATGAATAGATGGAACCTCTGAATCCAGTTAAAAGCCCTTCCAACATCAACAAAATTTCAGGCAATTTAGAGACCTTAGGTGGAAGATTCACCAGCATCCCTGCATATTTTAAACACTAATTTGCCCTCTTCCACTATATCTCCTGCCAAACACTTCCAGAATTTTGAAGTTAGATGCATTAGCTGCATCCACTCCCCCCAGCAACTTAGCTTTCTCTGCTCCAGCAAACAGTTCTAATTTTTCCAAGATTTTCATCATAACCAGATGTAGCATATCCTGGTATTATCAGCATGCATTCGTGCAGTGCTATTCCTTTAACTTTATGCACGAGAAGCCTAGTCCAAATAAGCTAATTCAGCTTGTCTTGACTGCAAGGCTCCCAAATTAAAAAAAAAACAACCTTTTGAGAAAAACACTAAGGGGACAACCAATATTACATAGAATGTATAGCAAGAAACATTTCATTCAATCCGACTTGTCTATTCTAGTATTTCTACTCGACCTGAACTTCCTCCTCCTCTTCTTCAGCTAACCTTATCAGTATCTCCTTCTATTCCTTTCATTTGCATGTTAATGTAGCTTCCCCTTAATTGTATCTCTGCTACTCACCTCAATTACTCCATGTGCTGGCAAGTCCTACATGCTAATCTTGGGTAGAGAAGTTTCTTCTGGATCCCTTTTTGAATTCTGTACCTAATGCTTGGGAAAGCAACAGAGAAAATTGGGAAGGAGGGCGAACGAAGCATTTGTTCATGTTTTCTTTTGAATTATTTTACAGAATGAAACGTTATTGGATCAGGAGGACCAGATTATTGAATTACAAAGTAGACTGAAGCTAGTAGGAGGGAATCAGTCTGCCGTGTTGGTGGATGAGGTCGTAGAGAGCCTGCAGCTTGCTGACCTCAGTTGCAGGCCTCACACAGCCCCTCAACTTTGCAGATTGAATGTGCCACGTTCCAGTCACATTCTCAATAATGAAACTGAAAGAACTCATTCCAAGAAGGTGCGTTTCCATTAACCTACTTGCTTCTAGTAAATATATCATCCAAATAGTACACCAATGATGTTGGCTTGCTCATTTGATCCCTCGGTTGAAAGGTTGTGACGTCAAGCGCTTTGAGAATGCATAATGTGAACTGACAATCCAGGTAAATACTGAATTATCGTAGAATCCCTACAGTGTGGAAACAGGCCCTTCGACCCAACAAGTCCACACCGACCCTCTGAGCATCCCACCCAGACCTATCCTCCTATAACCCACCTAATCTACATATCCCTGAACACTATGGGCAATTTAGCATGGCTAATCCACGTAACCTGCACATCTTTGGACTGTGGGAGGAAACCGGAGCACCCAAAGGAAACCCATGCAGACACGTGGAGAATGTGCAAACACCACACAGACAGTCACCTGAGGGTGGAATCGAACCCAGGTCCCTGGCACTGTGAGGCAGCAGTGCTAATCACTGAGCCACCCTGCCATCCAAATTGTTGGAAGTGTAATCCTTTGGATGAGACAGTAAACTATCAGTCCTCTTCCTGGTGTTTTAGATGGATATTAAAAATAAAATAATACTAGTCAGAGAAGAGAAATGAGTTCTTTTTGCGTTCTTGTCAATACAAGGCTGTCAATCATGTCAAGAAAAGGCTGGTTTATGTTTCAGAGATAGTAGGAACTGCAGATGCTGGAGAATCTGAGATAACAAGGTGTAGAACTGGATGAACACCGCAGGCCAAGCAGCATCAGAGGAGCAGGAAAGCTGACGTTTTGGGCCTAGGCCCTTCTTCAGAAAAAACTGGTCTATGTTAAGAGAGTTTTCAGGTAGGGCAAGAAGGCAGGTCCTGAATCCACCCTAGCTGAAATGGGGATTGAGCCTATTTTATGGTACAAATCTGATCCATATTGGCTGTTACAGCCAACTGACCCTATTTTGTATCTAGATCTCTCCTTTACTACCATTATCACTCCCTTTGTCATTTGCTGTGGGTACCCTCACTGCCTGTTCCAATTATTCCTCCAGCCCTTTGTCGACAGCATTTTCCAGCCCTGTTCAGTTCTGAAGAAGAGTCACCCAACTTGAAACATTAACATTGCTTCTTTCTCCAAAGATGCTGCCAGACCCAATGAGCTTTCCTAGCACTTTGTTTTTATGGTACCCACTGTGTCACAACACCTTCATCTGTACTAGATGACGATATCATCAATTCCTTCCATTGCAGGCAGAGGACTGGGTGACTGTGGTCTGTGATATAACTTCATTTATGACAACAACCTGTATTGATTTGGCACATTTAGAAAAATGACACTAGGCATTTCACAAGAATGCAATTAGGCATAAGTTGATGCAGGGCCAAAGAAGGATGTATTAGAAAGGATGACTAAAAGCATGTCATATTCAGCACAGAAACAGACCCTTTGGTCCAACTCGTCCATGCTGACCAGATATCTAGTCCCATTTGCCAGCATTTCGCCCATATCCCTCTAAATCTTTCCTAATTGTTTCTACTTAGTGGGCGGCATTTGGCTCACTGGTTAACCTTGCTGCCTAACAGCACCAGAGACCTGGGTTCAATTCCAGCCTCAAGTGAGTGTCTGTGTGGAGTCTGCACGTTCTCCCTGTGTCTGTGTGCATTTCCAGCAGGTGCTCCGGTTTTCTCCCACATTCCAAAGATGTGCAGGTTAAGTGGATTGGCCATGCTGATTTGCCCATAGTGTCCACGTATGTGTTGGTTAGATAGATTAGCCATGGGAAATGCAAGTTTACAGGAATATGGTAGCGGGGCGAGACCAAGTGAGTTCTTGCTGGGCCAATTGGCCTATTTCCACACTGTAAGGATTCTGTGGGTTTGTTGTTATTCATATACCCATCCTTTTAAATGTTGTAATTGTGCCAGCGTCCACCACTTCTTCTGGCAGCTCATTTCCATACATGCACCACCCTCTGCATGAAAATTTGCTCCTTCGGTCCCTTTTAAATCTTTGCCCTCTCACCTTAAACCTATGTCTGCTAGTTTGAGACATACCCACCATGGGGAAGAGACCTTGTCTACTTACCCTATCCATGCCCCTCATGATTTTGTTAACCTCTAAGGTCACCTCTTATCTCTGACGCTCCAGGGAAAATAGCCCCAGTCTATTCAGCCTCTCCCTATAGCTCAAACCCTCCAGCGCTGGCAACATCCTTGTAAATCTTTTCTGAACTCTTTCAAGTTTCACAACATCCTTCCTATAGGAGGGAGACCAGAATTACATGCAGTATTCCAGTAGTGGCTTAACCAATGTCCTGTTCAGGCTCAACATGACCTCCCAACTCCTATACCCGAGGCACTGACCAATAAAGGCAAGCATTCCAAGCACCTTCTTCACTATCCTATCTACCTGCGCCTACACTTTCAACAACTATGAACCTGCACTCCAAGAACACTCCCCAGGACCTTACCATTAAGGATATAAGTCCTGCCCTGATTTGCCTTTCCAAAATGCAGCACTTCACATTTATCTAAATTCAACTCCATCTGCCACTCCTTGGCCTGTCTGATCAAGGTCCCGTTGTACCCTGAGGTAACCTTCTTCGCTGTCTGCTACACCACCAATTTTGGTGTCATCTGCAAACTTACTAACCATACCTCCTATGCTCACATCCAAATTATTTATATAAATGACGAAAAGCAGTGGACCCAGCACTGATCCTTGTGGCACACCACTGGTCACAGGCCTCCAGTCTGAAAAATAACCCTTCACCACCACTCTCTGTCTTCTACCTTTTTCGAGCCAGTTCTATATCCAAATAGCTAGTTTTCCCTGTGTTCCATGTGATCTAACTTCGCTAACCAGTCTACCATGAGGAATCTTTTCGAATGCCTTACTTAAGTCCATACAGTTAAGTCCACAGCCCTGCCCCCATCAATCATCTTTGTTGCTCCTTCAAAAAACTCAATCAAGTTAGTGAGACACAATTTCCCATGCACAAAGACACGTTGACTATCCTTAATTAGTTCTTGCCTTTCCAAGTACATGTAAATCCTGTCCCTCAGGATTCCATCCAACAACTTACCCACCGCCAATGTCAGGCTCAGCAGTTCATAATTCCCTGGCTTTTCCTTACCACCTCTCTTAAATAGTGGCACCATATTAGCCAACCTCCAGTCTTCTGGCACCTCACCTGTGGCTATCGGTGATACAGATATCTCAGAAAGGGGCCCAGCAATCACTTCCCTAGCTTCCCATACATTTCGAGGTTACACTTGATCAGGTCCTTGGGTTTTATTCATCTTTATGCACTTTATGACGTCCAGCACCTCTTCCTCTTAATATGGACATTTTTAAGATGTCACTGTTTATTTCCCCACTTTCTCTATCTCCCATATCCTTCTCTACAGTAAACACTGATGCAAAATGAGTTCTGAGGAAGGGTCACTGGACCCGAAATGTTAACTCTGATTTTTCTTCACTGATGCTGCCACACGTGCTGAGCTTTAACAGCAACTTCTGTTTTTGATGCAAAGTACTTGTTTAGTGTCTCCCCCATCTCCTGCTGTTCCACACATAGATGGCCTTGCTGATCTTTGAGGGGCCCTATTCTCTCCATAGTTACACTTCTGTCCTTAATGTATTTGTACAATCCCTTTGGATTTTCCTTAACCCTATTTACCAAAAGCTATGTCCTGACCCCTTTTTGCCCTCATGATTTCTCTCTTAAGTATACTCCTACTGCCTTTATTCTCTTCGAGGATTCACTCGATCTCTGCTGTCTTTCCCTGACATGTGTTTCCTCCTTATTCTTAATCAATTATCTACTCATCCAGCATCCCCTACACGTACCAGCTTTGCCCTTCACCCTAACAGGAACATGCTGTGTCTGGACTCTCGTTATCTCATTTTTGAAGGCTTCTCGTTTTCCAACCGTCCCTTTACTTGTGAACATCCGCCCCCTATCAACTTTTGAAAGTTCTTGCCTAATGCCATCAAAAGTGGCCTTCCTTCAATTTAGAACTTTACCTTTTGGATCCAGTCTATTCTTTTCTGTCACTATTTTCAAACTAATAGAATTGTTGTCACTGGCCCCAAATGTTGCCCCACTGATTTGTCAGTCACCTGGCCTGCCTTATTTCCCAAGAGTAGGTCAGATTTTTCACCTTCTCTAGAAGGTACATCCACATACTGAATTAGAAAATTTTCTTGTACACGCTTAACAAATTTCTCTTCATACAACCCCTTAACGCTACGACAGTCCCAGTCTATGTTTGGAAAGTTAAAATCCATAACCACCCTATTTTTTCTTGCAGATAACTGAGATCTCCTTACAAATTTGTTTTGCAATTTCCCACTGACAGTTGAGGGTTCTGTAGTACAATCCCAATAAGGTAATCATCCCTTTCTTATTTTCCAGTTCCACCCAAATAACTTCACTGGATGTATTCCAGGAATATCCTCCCTACGTACAGCTGTAATGTTATCCCTAATCAAAAATGCTAATCCCTCTCCTCTCTTGCCCCGCTTTCTATCCTTCCTAAAGCATCTATACCCTGGAACATTAATCTGCCAGTCCTGTCTATCCCTGATGATTGCACAATGTTCAGCACCATTCACGACTCCTCAGGCACTGAAGCAGTCCATGTCTAAATGCAACAAAATCTGGACAATATCCAGGCATGGGCTGATAAGTGGCAAGTAACATTGATGCCACACAAATGCCAGGCTATGACCATTACCAATAAGAGACAATCTAACCACCGCCCCTTGATATTCAATGGTGTTACCATCACTGAATCCCTCATTATCAACATCCTCAGAGTTATCATTGATCAAAAACTCAACTGGACTCACCACATAAACATAGTGGCTACTAGAGCAGGTCAGACGCTAGGAATACTGCGGCAAGTAACTCACCTCCTGATTCCCTAAAGTCTGTCCACCATTTACGAGGTACAAGTCAGGAGTGTGTTAGAATACTCCCCACTTGCTTGGATGAGTGCAGCCCCAACAAGACTCAAGAAGCTTGGCACTATCCAGGACAAAGCAGCCCTCTTGCTTAGCACTGCATCCACAAGCATCCACTTCCTCAACCACTGACGCTCAGTAGCAGCTGTGTGTACTCACTAAGAGATGCACTGCAGAAATTCACCAAAGATCCTGGGATGACAACTTCCAAACACACAACCATTTCCATCTAGAAGTACAATGGCAGCACATACATTGGAATAGCACCACCTTCAACTTCCCCTCCAAACCACTCACCATCCTAACTTGGAAATATGTCCCTGTTCCTTCGCTGTTGCTGGATCAAAGTTCTGGAATTCCCTCCTTAGTGGCATTGTAGATCAACCCACAGCACGTGGACTGCAGCGGTTCAAGAAGGCAGCTCACCACCACCTTCTCAAGGGCAACTAGCGATGAATAATAAATGCTGCCCAGCCAGCGATGCCCAGATCCCACAAAATGAATACATTTAAAAAAAAGTCAATGCATATCGTAATGCACAGTAAGTTAGGAGTGAATGAGGTTCGAAGACAATTAGGACTCAATCAGTAGAGCTTTTGATATGTACCATTTTATGTAGGGTGGAAGATAGGAGGTCAGCTAGTTGATCATTAAAATTGTCAAAACTCACAGTGACAAAGTCATGAATGAAGTTTGATAAAGAGCTGATGTCGGGAGAGAGTCAAGCAATAATCCGAATGAAACGAGTAAACTAACTAATGCGTCAGGATTACAAATACATACAGAGTGAGGCTTATTCCCACTGTTTTTTCCACCACCTTCTGAAGGTGTTCCCTTCTTGCTGAGCACTGTTGCACTGGTACCAAATATAACTACAGTGCCTCACTCGATTATCTATTCAACATTTGTAAGTAGGTGCTAAAATCAAGTAGATTGTTTTACCAGTGGAGTATTACACAGCTAAGCCTAGCCAGATCTTATCTGATTTTCACTGACATGCACTGTATAGTAGATGGTCATTAGAAAGGAATTGTGACTCAAAGTCTGCAACACAACTCAACACAGACAAATGTACCATTCTGATCTTTAGTCTACTATGTGATGTGTTTACTCACTGAATCATCAGGGTGTGCCATTACCGATTATTACAACTGACCTTGATCAGTTGACTTTATTTTTGAGATTTCTGCTGTTGAACGTTCAGCATCAAACAAGGACAAACATCTGTACAGTCGTTCTGGCTTTATTTCAGACACTCGTATCAATCAATCTGTGCCATGCATCACTTCACAATCTTATTCCTGTCTGTTTATAAACTCAACTGACCGCAAATTATGTTTCTCTCTTTTAACAATAGATTTCTGCAAATGCCTCTTCCACAGAACATGCAGGTATTGCATTTCGCAGCCATGGTCAGTGCCTGCAGCAAAGCATGGGGGACAGAGATTCTGTGTTTCACAGAGACTGCAACAGAGATTGTGGATCAACAGTGTTGCGATCTGATGATGACACAGAGGAGGATGATTTTTGTGGGAGTCTAGAAAAAAACAGGTAAACATAACTTTTGTTATGAAAATTGATGATGGGGTAGTAAATAGTGAAGAATATAGCCTTAGATTACAGGAGGATGTAGATGGGCTGATCAATAGCAGGTGAAACTCAATCCAGACAAGTGTGAGGTGGTGCAATTATGCAGAACAAACAAGGTAAGGGAATACATGATGAACAGTAGGACTCTGGGAAGCATGGAAGATCAAAGGCACCTTGGTGTACATGTCCATTGATCATGTAAGGTAGTGGGACAAATAGAGAAAATGGTTAAGAAGGTGACTTTCCTTTATTAGCCAAAGCATAAAGTTTAAGAGCATGGAAGTTATGCTGGAACTGTATAAAAAGTTGGTTATGCCACAGCTAGTGTATTGTGTCCAGTTCTGGAATCTACCTGTCAGGAGGGATGTGATTACAATGGAGAGGGTGCAGAGGAGATTTACCAGAATGTTGCCTTGGCTGGAGAGTTTCAGTTAGGAAGAGAGATTGAACAGACTAGGGTTGTTTTCCTTAGAACAGAAAGGATTGAGTGGGGACATGATTGAGATGTATAAAATTATGAGGGGCACAGATAGAGTAGATAGGCAGAAACTTTCTCCCTTTGAGAAGGGATCAATGACTGGGGACATTGCTTTAAAGAAAGTGGCAGGAGTGTAAAAGAGGATGTGAGAAAAATGTTTTTTCCCCAGACAGTGGTAGGAAGCTAGAACTCATTGCCTGTACGAATGGTAGAGGCAGAAACCCTCATAACATTTAAGAATTATTTAACTGTCCACTTACTATGCCAAGGCACACAATGCTATGTGCCAAATGCTGGAAAATGAGAGTAGAATAGTTAGGTTGTTTTCCACCAATGCAGACTCGATGGGCCGAAGAGTCATTTTCTGTGCTGGAGACCTCTATGACTCGAAACTGACTCTCATTTAGTGCCCATGTTCTTGCCTATAATCTACTCCACAAACTGCTAGCATTCACAACCTTGAATGCACGTCAATTTATTAATCATATAATAATAAATCAAGTGCTTGATTTAAACCGTGCAAGATTTAGCTGGAAAATTCAGTACACATTATGGTTCTGAGCTTGGTGTGCTTTGCTGGCCAGTTCTTTGAATTCCAAGTTAGAAAGCAATATCTTTGAATTCCAAGACATCTGTTGTAACACCTACACTTTATACCTTTGTTCAGCCCTACTACTTGACGCTTAACTGTTTATCCATTACCTAATAACATTAGATTTTTTCCAAGTCTGTTAAAAGTAACTGCAGTTTTAATGTAACAAAGGCAGAAACATTACTGGAGAAACTCAGCAGGGCTGGCAGCATCTGTGGAGAGAAAGCAAAGTTAAAGTTTCAAGTCCAATGACGCTTCTTCAGAACAGTTTCTCCAGCAATTTCTGTTTTTGTTTCAGGTCTCCTTTATCCACAATTCTTTGTTTAGTTTTATTGCAGTTTTAATGATTTCTGTTCATAATATTGCTTTCTAACTTTGGTTTAGTTTCACTCTGTTGATTTGTCAATTAATTCTTTGAAATACTTTTAAACAAAATCAAACAAGCCTGTCATGTGATTTACACTTGCATTCTTCCAATACAAAACTCCATTAACAGGAAAAAGCTACAAGTTAAATAAAGCAATTGATATCAAGGGAAATGAATACCAGTACCATATTACCAAACAGGTAGGCTAAGGCTGAACATTTTTGTGATGTCTTGTGTAACGTTCTCCTGAAAAATATAAAATATTTAGCATTGTTTTCATGCCTTGAAATTAATCCCTTGTCCCTCGACAGACATCAGATCAATCGGACCTGGACGAAAAGAGATGTGCCTGGAATGATCAGCACAGCGAAAAGCAGAAACAACCTTAGCCAGCTCCGAGACAGTGATTCGAGCAGTTTGCAAAGTGAAGTTACAAAACGTACGCAGCTTCTCATGGACTGACTGTTGCCTTGGCTGTATTAGTAATGAGTCAGTTCCATTCAAGGAGAATCCACTGCTTTTTGTACTTAAACACTTTTCTTTTCAAATACCGACCCTGCTTTCCTGACAGCAGTTGCTGTCATCTTTGTACAAGGCTCTTGCTCCTAATTGTCCTCTGGTATATCCTGAAGTTGTTCATGCTTCTGGTAGAAGCATGGGCAATAACTAGGAAGGCTTCCGGGAGTATTATAACTAAGTCAGATCAACATTTAAACCTAGGTTTCCGTCCTTAATCCTTGACAGGGCCACCTGTCTCAGAGACTTTCGTATGGAATGGGCTCACTCACATCGCACTGTCTGTATTCACATAAGTTCTGTGTTTCTTTCAAAAGCATTTTTCCGTTTGTTTAAGCACTTATTCCACACTTGACTTCTCTGACTGTTAGTACGCCATTGCTTGTGTTGGTACAGACCCTGGGTCCTCTTCTGATTATCTTTAAATGCCTCAGTCACCACGAGGAAGTTTCTCTAATTTGCCTTCGTTATAATACAGTTCTTAGAATTTGCTTTGTTTCTAGAATTCTAGAAGGAGGCCATTTGGCCAATTGAGTCCACACCGACCCCCCCCAAAGAGCATCCCTCCCTGACCAACCCCATACCATATACCTGTAACCCTGCATTTTCCATGTCTAACCCACCTAGCCTGCACGTCCCTTGACACTATGGACAATTTAGCATGGCCAGTCCACCTAACCTACACATCTTTTGGCTGTGGGAAGAAAATGGACCACCTGGAGGAAACCCACACACGCACAGGAAGAACGTGCAAACTCCACACAGACAGTCACCCAAGGCTGGATTCAAACCCGGGTCCCTGGTGCTGTGAGGCAGTAGTGCTAACCACTGAACCACCATGCCGTCCCAATAAGAGGAGTGGTGGTTTGACCTGGGTGTCACCATGCCTCAGGTGAGGAGACAGTATGAGAAAGTGAGTCCTCCATGGTAACTTCGGCTAGTACAGGAATTGAAACACGCTTGTTGGTATCACTGTATGTCACAAACCAGCCATTCAACCAATTGAGCTAACTGACCCCCCACCCCACCAAACCCCACATGTCCATAGATTTTGACTCTACAGTGCAGTGGCATATGCAAAACTGCATTGAAACAGGCAGAGCATGTCACTTCCTGGGGCAAGACGGAACATTCAGGCCATGATGTCTACATGCACCGTTTATGAAAGTAATGTTCCTCCTTTAATTTACTTTTTCCATTTACCCACTAGGTCACTCTGTTATCTGCACCTACACGTGATCTCAAACACTAACTCTGACTTGAAGCTGGTTGTTACAAAGAGTGTTGAGTGTCACCTTTGGCTTTAATTTTGCCTTCTCTACAGAGATTAAACCCAATTTGGTTTCCTGTAAAGAGCGTTAGATGGGGAAGGAGGTGATAGACTATGGGATTGAATCCATATTTCATTGAGTCGTCGTGCCATATTTGACTTACTGCAGCTTATCACGGTCATCCTCTGTATTAAGTAACGGAATCAAGAGCACTTGGGCTTCTCTGGCAAACCCACCATGGTGCTACTGTCAGGTCCCACTAGCTTGATTCTATATGTCGCAAGATAACTAAATCAGGATACAGCCAACACAATCTGGGGCAGTCTCCCAGAAAAGTGAAACATAATTTCAGATTCTTCCTTTAGACACAAATTCCAACAGGAGTAGATAGATACTACTTGAAATTAGTGTTTATAAACTTACCTCTTATATGTCAACCCTTAACATAATGTGCGCTATTAGCTATTTTACTTCCCATTTTTAGTAGACTCAGATTAGAGAACCTATAGGCTGACATATTAATTCCATGTTCTTCAGCTCCCTACAGGAGCGGTGACCAGGATGGGGCCCACTCACTGCCATTCTGTGATGAATTCAGGGAATATTCCCCTGTGAACCATCCCAAGATGAAGAACTCTGAGTGGAGACTCCTCCAAGCACAGCACAAGATGCGGGAGCTGGCCATCAATATCCGCATGAAGGAAGAATTGATCAAAGAACTCATCAAAACAGGTCGGAGGGGTTAATTTTGAGGAACATCTATTTAAATGCTGGCTCATAGATCATTTCTAACTGTCAGTCACTGGTGTGAGGTATTTCAAAATAAAAGGAAAAAATGTTAGAGAAACTCCACAAGTTTGGCAGCATCTGCTGGGAGAGAAACAGAGTTAACGTTTCAAGACCAATGAATGAATGAATGATTTATTGTTGCATATATCTGGGAGGTACAGTGAAAAGTGTTCTGTTGCCACAATCTGGCAGCATTTTGAGAATAAGGATAAAGAAAAACTACTTAAATAACGTTCATCTTCATCTGCCAGCGTCCCAAGCATGGCTCCAGGTCTTCTGCAAGGTCCATGCTCTAGGCCAGGAGCCAGGAGTCCCCGCTTGGGGCACTGATACCACCGCAAACAGTGATCCACCCCTGCTGAATGAGTCTACGCTCCGGGTTTACCACACCCAGGAGTCCACGCCTGCACTGCTGTTTAGAACTGAAGTTCGGAACTGAACTGAGCATTCTGAAAAAAAGTCAAATCAGACTGGAAACATTAACTCTGCTTCTTTCTCCACAGGTGCTGCCAGACCTGCCTTTCTCCAACCCCTTTTCTTTTAATTTGAAGTTTCCAACATCTGCAGAATGTTGTTTTTATTTGGTGAGGTATTTCATCAGCTTCAAAAATCAATTCATGTTGTTTTTGAAAGTTATAGAGTCGTACAGCATGGAAACAGACCCTTTAGTCCAACCAGTCCACTCGGAACATAATCCCAAACTAAACTAGTCCCGCCTGCCTGCTCCTGGCCCATATCCCTCCAAACCTTTCCTATTCATATATCCATCCAAATGTCTTTTAAACTTTGTAATTGTACCTGCATCCATCACTTCCTCAGGAAGTTCATTCCATACGCAAGCCACCCTCTTTGTAAAAAAATTGCCTGTTATGTCATTTTTAAATCTCTCTCCTCTTACCGTAAAAAGGTGTACCCTAGTCTTTAAATTTCCCATCTTAGGGAAAAGACAACTACTATCAACTCTACCTCAACCTCTCATTATTTTTTAAACTTCTGTCAGGTCACCCCTCAACCTCCTACGCTTCAATGAAACAGGTCCCAGCCTATTCAGCCTTTCTTTATAACTCAAACATTCCATAGCCGGAAACATCCTGGTAAATCTCTTCTGAACCCTCTCCAGCTTGATAATATCTTTTCTATAACTGGGCGACCAGAACTGGACACAGTACTCCAGAAGAGGCCTCACCAATGTCCTGTACAACCTCAACATAAGATCCCAACTCCTATACTCAAAGGACTGAGCAATGAAGGCAAGCATGCCACATGCCTTTTTAACTACCCTGTCTATATGTGACGCAAACTTCAAAGAATTATGTACCTGTACCCCTAGGTCCCTCTGTTCTGCATCACTACCCAAGGCCTTACCATTAATTGTGTGAGCCCCTACCCTTGTTAGTTGTACCAAAATGCAAAACCTCACATTTATCCAGATTGAATTTCTTCTGCCATTTTAAGCCCATTGAACCATTTGATCAAGATCCATTTGTAGTCTTTAAAAACCTTCTACACTGTTTACTATTCCGCCAATTTTGGAGTCATCTGCAAACTTATGAACGATGCCTTCTATATTCTCATCCAAATCATTTATATGAATGACAAACAAAGAGGACCCAGAACCAATCTCTGTGGAACACCACTGGTCACAGGCCTCCAGTCCGAAAAGCAACCCTCCACCATTACTCTCTGTCTCCTGCCGTTAAGCCAATTATGTCTCCAATTGGCAAGCTCACCCTCAATCCCATGTGACCTAACTTTACTAATTAGTCTACCATGTGAAACCTTGTCAAATGCTTTACTAAAATCCAAATAAACAACGTCTCCTGCTCTGCCAGCGTCAACCTTTTTGGTAACTTCCTCAAAAAACTCAATCAAGTTTGTGAGACACGATTTTCTTTGCATAAAACCATGCTGACTATCTCTAATCAATTTTTGCCTCTCAAAATATTCATAAATCCTATCTTTTATAATCACCTCCAACAATTTACCCACACCTGAAGTCAGAGTCACAGGTCTATAGTTTGTCGGTTTCTCCTTACGACCCTTCTTAAAAGTACAACATTAGCCACCCTCCAATCATCAGGCACCTCACCCGTAGTTACAGATGATGCAAATATTTCTGCACGGGGTCTCATGGTTTCCTCCCTTACTTCCCACAACATTCTGGGATACATTAGATTAGGTCCCAGAGATTTATCCACCTTTAGGTTCTCTAAGACCTCATAAACTTACTCTTCCGTAATGTGAACTGCTTTTAAAACATGAAAGTTTGTCTGCATTCTCTAGACTCCACTTCTTTCTCCACGATAAAAACTGATGTGAAATATTCATTAATTATCTCTCCCATCTCTTAGGGTTCAACACAAAGACGACCTCCTTAATCTTTAAGAGGCCCAACCCTCTCTCTAGTTACCCTCCATCTCTTAATATGTTTGTAGAATCTCTTTTGATTATCCTTAAGTTTACCTGCCAATGCTATCTCATATCCCTCTTTGCCTTCCTAATTTCTCCTTTAAGAATGCCCCTACACTCTTTATAGCGATTAAGAGATTCAATTGAACCAAGCTGTCCATATTCTCTTTTATTCTTGACTAGAACCTCAAAACCTTTATTCATCCATTGTTCCTTAATCTTACCAGCCTTACCCTTCAGTCTAACAGGAACAAAATACCGCTGAACACTTGTCATCACACTCTTGAATGCCTCCCACTTGTCAGACGTCCTTTTACCTGCGAACAGTCTACTCCAATCAACTTTTGAAAGTTCTTGTCTCATACCATTAAAATTTGCCTTACTCCAATTAAAAATTTTAACTTTTATGGAATGCTTATCCTTTTCCATAACCATTTTGAAGCTAATAGAATTATAATCGCTTTTCCCCCACTTTTACTTCAATCACATGCCTCATTGCCCAAAAGAAGGTCTAGTTTTGCTCTTTCCCAAGTAGGAGCATTCACATATCAATAAAGAAAATTTTCTTAAGCACATTTGACAAATTCTTCACCATCCAAGCGTTTAACACTACAGTAGTTCCAGTCAATATTTGGAAAATTAACATCCCCCAATACATGCTTACATATATCTGAGATATTCCTACATATTTGTTTCTCAATTTCTCCCTTACTATTGGGGGGCTTAAAGTACAATCCCATCAAAGTGATCTTTCTTTTCTTATTTGTAATTTCTACCCATATATTTTCACTGGACGATTTTTCAGAAATACCTTCCCTAGTTACAGAGGTAATGTATTTCTTAGCCAAAAACCCCCCCCCCCCCCCCCAACCCCCCTCCTTTCTTGCCTCCTTTTCTATCCTTCCTATAGTGTCTAAAACCTGGAACATTGAGCTGCCAGTCCTGTCCATCTCTCAGCCAAATTTGTGTAATAGCTATAACGTTTCAATCCCATGTTCTTAAACATGCCCTGAGTTCATCAGCCTTACCTGTAAGATCCCTTGCATTGAAATAAATGCAGTTTAGTTCTTCACAGTTACTACATACTCTGACTCTCTGTCTTTTTTTTTCTAATTGATGTGCTCTCCTCACATTCAGAGCCTACCCCATCAATCCTTGCATTTACATTTAGAGAAGGCAAGTGGAGGAATTCTATCAGTATAAAGTTTCCCTTGTTTGAAAGAGCAAATCTCCCTGCTAAGATATTGGTCCCTTTCCAGTTTAGGTTAGACCCATCCTTTTTGAACAGGTCTTTCATATCCCAAAAGCTATTCCATTGGCCCAAAAACCTGAATCCCTGAACAATACACCAGCTCTTCAGCCATTGATTTATCTCCTTTAATCTTTTGTTCCTTCCTTTCCATTATGAACTCCTGTGTCTATACTCTAATGGAAATATTATAACCTTGCCCCTGTGATTGCACAATCTGACCAATGAATTAATATAGTAGAATAAAAACGCATTTGAATTTTTGAGATAACTGCAAATTCTATTTGATTATTTCACAATAGTAGGATTATGTTTGTTAGGTCAATTGGTTTTTTATAGCTTTAATGCTTCCAAACATTTGGGAAAAAAAGCCTCAAAACCCCTTTTATAATTACACCAAGTTGCTTAAATGTGTGCAATAATAAGACCGTGGCAGGACATACAAGTTTTGAACGGTTGTTTACTGTTAGTAACTCCATACATTTTCAGCTAAACCAGCTTGTATTTGGATGGTTAGGGAGAGATGCCCAAGCGATGAATAAACAGTACTTCCAGAAGATTCAAGAGCTGGAGCAGGAGGCAGAACAGGCAAAAGCAGAGCTGACAGAGGCTCAGAAACAGCTCCAGGACTTTGAAGAGAAAGAACCCAGGGACCCTGTGGAAAGGGCCAAGCTTCAGGAGTATCAAAAAAAAATTGTTGCAGCACGAAGCAAAGTGCAGGTACGTGACGTGATATGGCTGCTACTGCCTCTTGGTGAGATGGTTGAATTAAACAGTGAAAGAGTGAAGATCAGGAATAATCAATTATGACGGACCAAGGTGAAAAATATAATGTGTTATTGGGCCACTATTCAAACTAAAAGGGTACAGCATGTGCCACGTTCAAATATGTTTATTTCAGGGTACCAATCTGATATATATCTTTGTAAACAGTTGCTTTGTAGTACAAGACTTCAGTGTTGCTGAGAAGAGAGGCATGTTGATGAAGCTTTCAGTCTGACACTCATTAGGACAAATGCAAGACTGTTAACTTTCAAATAGTTACTATTTATGCCAAACAAAAATGATACTGATTAGCTCAGCTGAGCATTGTCATAGAGAAAGCATAAACGAACTCTAGGCTGCCCAAGCTCCCAGATAATTCACATAAGAGAAAAGCTTGAAAGTATTCCTTTTGTTTGTTGAGAACTTGTCCCTTTATATGAATGTCACTTCTGGCAAGTGGAAATAAGGCACACTGTTAGATCAACAGATTATCTTAAATTGGTAGTTCGTGTAGCAATGCATTGGCCAATCAGAATCCATTTGTCAACAAATCACCACCCCTTTTCTCTTTACTATACGTTGTTATGATTGTTTGAAATTTGGTTTTCTTGCACTTGTCCTGATAGGTGCAAGCCAAAAAGCTTTGGCACTGTGCCTCTTTTCAGCAATGTATCTTTGAATGGTAATCTAATACTTAGTTTAGAATAGTGTTACAGTAATTATTGCATTTTAGTTACTTTTTGTGCCCAATCTAATTCTATATTCCTGCGAAACACAGGTTGTCAGTTTTATTATTTGATCTTTCTTGTAACATTCACAATTTTGTCTCATTGCAATGGGCTGCAGTAAGTTTGATTTGACAGACAGATATGCTGGATTAATGAATACGGGATTAAGTGGAAAGTCACACACCCAACGCTTGTATAAGATGAGGCACAAGGCCAGTTTGTACCTGTAGAACTATGACATCAAAAGAGAGAAAGGGCGATATAGCTCTTCCGGCAGAGTACGAATCTGTGTGCTATTTTATTTTGCATTTAAAATAATATCTTAGTTACAATGTGTTGCTATTTTCTCGAAGGATGGAACTCAGTAGCAGAGAACTTACTTTAGCTTATGTAGAACCTTGATTGGACTGCACTGTGAACAGTTCTGGGGTTTCTTTATTATGGAAAGAATGGTAGGGCACAGAAAGAGCAAAAATCAGTTTACTAGAATAATATGAAAATAATTATCAAAAGTTTTGAACAGTTTGAGGCTCATTTCCCTGACAAAAGTAGACTAAAAGATGATAAAGGTCATTAAGACTCTTTAAAAAGTTTTGATGGGTTACATGTGGAGAAGATTTTGTACTTGTAAGATCAGAACGAAGGGACAAAAGCATATGATAGTCACAGATAAAGTCAATATGGAATTCTAGAGAAACTTCTGTAGTTGGAGGGTGACTAGAATGTAGAGCGTGCTACAATAAAGAATAGTTGAGTTAGATAGCGTTGATGCGCTTAAGGGGGAGCTTGATTTATACATGAAGGTGAGAGGGATAGAAGGATGATATTGATGCGTTAAATGAAGAGGATGGGAGGGACCTCGCATGGACCATTAAAACAGGCACAGTCCCATTGATTGAATGACGTATTTCTTCCTGTGAATGTTATGTGATGGATTCGCCCATGTATACTTACCAGAAATCTGCTGTTTTATTTTTAATCCTAAAGCTGGCTTTCAGCTTTACTACTAATCTTACATTAATTTTATTTTCAGGTGCTCAAGCAAAAGAAGCGGGATACAGAGCAACTGGTGTCACTGTCATCACAGAGTGAGCGGCGAATCCATGAGATGGAGAGAAACGTACAGCTGATGAAGCAGCAACAGGCATTGTTGCAGAGAAAGCTGAAAGAGGAAATGGATCAGAAAAGACGACTTGAGACAGAAATGCAGAAAGGAAAACATCGAGTGAAGGTACTACTTGCTGCATGTTGCAATTGCTCAAGTTGAATTATGTTTTATGTTTTAGAAATTAACCTTTTTCTTCAGTGAAAAGTCAAACCCAATGACCAGTGAAACCAGCTCAAAGGGACACCTATTTAAAAAAAAAAATTTCCTGGCAATTGTAATTAACTTCCATTGTAAGAGATACGAACTGCACCTTGAAAACTTACGTCAACTTTTAATACACCAAGTCAGTTTGCTATTTAATTGCTATTCCAAAATAAATACTTAGACCTGTTGCGTGTTATTTTTTAGTTCTCTGCTATTCAGTTTGATATCTCTGGTACTGAAATGCAATATTGAGAGTAAGACAGGCTAATAAACGCAAAGTTCAGCATGTTATAAAAGGATTTTATGAATGGAGAGTGCTTTACCCAGCATCCCTAGGGGCAGTGAAACCGCTTTATCTCTGCAATTGGAGCCTACATTTTACATCTTTTTAAGGGAGGAAGTAGTTTCCCTGCCACAATGAATGCTGGGTAAAGAGTTCCCCATTGAACAAAAGCTGGAAACTGCATGCTTCATTGCACTGGAATATTAGGTACTGGTGAACTGCTAATAGCTTCCTACCTTCCTGCCAGTATTGCAAGTTCAAGAGGTTGGGGATCCGAGCCAAATGTATGCAGAACATCGATTCTAATTTGGGTGGGATTTCCCAAGCACCCTAAAAGTCTGCAGCTGCACTGTCAACTCTATTTGCTAGTCCAGTAGATTTCAGGATCACAACGTCCCTTAATGAAAAAGGTAACAATGAATTGCAGAACTCAACAAACAGACAAGGACTTGAAAACACATTCTCACTGGTCAAACTGCAGAGTTAGGCTCAATGTCAGGTGAGATGATATATTTAATTCTGAGATATTTGGCTCCCCCAGTTACTGCACATGCAATGACTAGGGACAGGACATGTGAATACACAATAGATTGTAGATGCCCCCAAGTGCAATGAAGAGCTCATTTTTCCCTTTGTTCTGCATGCAGGAGCTTGAAATAAAGCATAAACAACAGCAACAAATTCTCAAGATTAAAACTGAAGAGATTGCAGCTTTCCAAAGGAAGAGGAGGAGTGGCAGCAATGGGTCCGTGGTCAGCCTTGAAGAGCAGCAGGTAACATGATAGTTGGCCAGTAACAACTCAGTGGTGTACACCTGAACATTGTACATTGTGAGTTCTGACTGGAGCAGTTCAATTTCGTCAATAGAATTCTATTTTCAAATGATTAGTTTATTTGTTTCTTAGTTCTGTCCAATATGGGCCAAGTACCTCTTATGCCAATTTATGAACTTCCATTGAATCTATATTTTAATGCTAATTAGTGGGTTGTTTTAATATTTAACAATTACTTTCCTCTCATTTGTATTTTTGTGACTGACATAAAGTTATAGAGATGTACAACGTGGAAAGAGATCCTTCGGTCTAACTAGTCCATGCCGACCAATATCCTAAATTAATCTAGTCCCTTTACCAGTATTTGGATCACATCCCTCTAAACTCTTCCTATTCAAATACCTATCTAAATGCCTTATAAATGTTGTGATTGTTCCAGCCTCCACCACTTTGTCTGCCAGTTCATTCCATACACACACCACCCTCTGTGTGAAAAAGTAGCCCCTTAGGTCCCTTTTAAGTCTCTCCCCTCTCCCTTAAATTTATGCCCTCTAGTTTTGGACTCTCCTACCCAGTGGCAAAGACCTTGACTATTCACTCTTTCCATGGCCCTCATGATTTTATAAACCTCTATAAGGTTACCACTCAGCCTCTGACACTCCAGGGAAAACAGCCCCAGTCTATTCAAACTCTCCCTATAGCTTAAACCCTCCAACCCTGGCAACATCCTTGTAAATTTTTTCTGAACCCTTTCAAGCTTGACAACATCTTTCCTATAGCTGACTAGCCAGGCAGTGAACTTTCACAGCTAACTGCCTGTGCATCTCTGGACATCAGAGTTCGGTCTAAGGAAAATAAACAAACAGTGAAATTTGCAGCTGAGCTTGGAGAAACGTCAGTATTGGGAGCTACTCACAGCAGGGGAACAGCTAAGTGTTTTTTTAAAGTCTAACCATACTCTTTTTTTGTACATCTACAGTAGTGAGTACAATGGATTTTTTTTTTGTTTGTGTGTTTTATTGAGATCTGACATATTGTGACTATGACTGTATAACTATTACTAATTTTGCACACAAGGAACTAAGGAAGTTACCAGTGAACAGACTGAAAAGTTAAATTCAACAGCTAGTCAAGAGATTTCTTGTTTGTTATGCTCAGTAGAACTTAACAAAATTCAGGACAACGCACTTGGTACTGATTTGAGTCACAAGGATAGTCTCAGATCCTCTTTCCTTTCTCTGCAGAGATAGGTGTGTTCTAATTGACCTCTTTGTCTAAGGGCCAGGATTTTGATTTCGGATGTTTGTTAGAAAATGCATATGTGCAGATGTCAGGTGAGGGCAGGGTCAGAAACAGTTGTACTTATCTTTACATTCTATGATCAGATGTTACAAACGGCTATTGGGTAAGCCGATGAAGAACTGCTAGAGCCCCATTAAGAGTAAGTACCGTCATGGGGGAGGCATGACCTAGTAGGATTATCACTCGACTGTTGATCCAGAGACCCAGATAACGTTCTGGGGACCCGGGTTCGAACCCCACCACGGCAGATGGTGGAATTCGAATTCAATAAAATATCTGGAATTAACAGACTAACGGTGACCGTGAATTCATTGTCAATTGTTGGAAAAACCTGTCTGGTTCACTAATGTCCTTTAGGGAAGGAAAAGGTGCAGTATTTCATCCGCAGCAATAAGGATTAAGTGCTGGTTCACCAGATGGGCTCCACAACTGTAAGGCGAGGTTGATATGCCTTCTCCTAGCATCCCAACTACCCAGCGGAAACAGGCCATGGCGAGGAAACTCCCTGTCTGTGTCAAAACAACAACATCTTGCATTTATATTGTATCTGATGTAACAAAATGTCCCATGACACTTAATGAGAGCATTATTGATAAAGCATTTTGACACCAACTTAGAAAACGCAAGATGAGGGTAGATCATTAAGAGCTTGGCAAGTGTGATAGAATAATAGGAACACCTTGAAGTTAAATTCAAAGCTAAAGAGATTCTAGCCTCCTAACACAGCCCCTGTGATGTGGCCGGGTGTGGGAGGAACCATGTTTGTGATAGACACTGGTTCCTGCCAACTATGCAGCTGCTCACATCAGAGGCCGTTATGCAATGTGCTTGACTGCTGCTAAGTGTGAGAGAGTGTGCCAAAAAGCCCATAGATTTTTGTGACCCATGATTATTTTATGAGGGAAAAGCTCCTTTCTGAGCCCTTTCCTCTGAAACATGTATTGATGTTCTACTTTTCTTGTAGAAAATTGAAGAGCAGAAGAGGTGGTTAGACACAGAGATTGAGAAGGTTCTCGAACAACGGAAGGCTCTGGAGGACCTGGAAGAGGAGTTGAACAAACGAGAGATCATTGTAGAAAAGAAGGAGGCCTTGTTGCAGGAGAAGAATGGGCTGGAGAGCAAGAGGCTGTGGTCCAGCCAGGTGAGATTACAAGGATCTAGTCAGCTGTGAAACTCCTATTGAATGAGTGATTGAGAGGTAGCAACTCAGTAGGATGAAGGAACATTGGAGTCAAGACCACCTCATGTGAAAGGAAAAGAACTGAGATCCTATTTGATTAAGAGTTAAATTTGAAAGCCCAGATCAGAGAGTAACGGACCTTGTTTCAAGTACATTGAGGACTTCGTAAAGTTTCATTCCTGCAATTTTTGTCCCACCTTCTCCAATAGCAACTGACTCTGTATATTGTTCTGCTATTGTCAGCAGCACATCCTGACCTCATATATACAGTACTGTGTATTTAAACGTGGAGAGTGAATATCATTGGGGTATTAAACTGTGAGCCTGTTGAGCCTTGTGCTCAGCATTCACTTAACAGCAGGATTGGCTGCAAACTGATCCGCAGAGGGGATACTAGCTGATTTGCCATTGTTCAGCCCATTGAACCAAACCTCATTATAATACTGTATATGCCATCCATCTGACGTCAGCTTTCCAAACACAGACCAGAGACCAAACCTGGAACCTTGTGACATCACATTTCACTATTAATATCAGAAGACTGTAGGAAAAAAAATCTGACTTTCTCTCAATTCATTTTAAAACATCAGCGTGTTGGTCAGTTTTCTTTTTTGTTATCTTTTCTGTAGGCACTGAATAATGACATTGTGAGAGTGTCGAGCCGCATTGAATCTCTGGAGAAGGAGCTGTCTGAGAAGAATGGGCAGTTGCGTAATGGCAGTGCCTGCGACCAACAGGAAATCCGGGAGGAGATTTCTGACTTACGGCACGAGAAGGATCAGATGATGAAACAGCGCACCGAACTAGATGAGAAACTACGGATGGGAAACCTGCTGTCTGCAGAGGTGGGACTTGTTGTGAGAGAAACCAATCTATTGAGTGGAATCTTGTAAAGTCGTACGGAACCAGTTGTTTGCTGGAATAATGTTTTACCCCATTAGCTGGCTAGTGTGTAACGGAAACTGCATATTTCAGTTGAATGTACAACGCCTTTAATATTCATGAGATAGCTAATGCAGGACCATTTCCAGTTTATTTATCATGCAGTGGGATTGGTATTCCGGTGTTGCTGAGTAAAAACACTGGATTATATGTTCATGTGCAATATCTTTGCAGTAGTGAGCATTTACTATAAGTAAAAGTCTTTCTGCTTGCCCTATCACATTTAGTTCATAACTTCAGTTCTAAAGCAGCACATTCTCTGTTTCACCATGAACAATGTCATGGGAGATGGCTTTAAAAGCTGATATTAATTATTGTTTTACAGCAAGTCCAAACATTTCAGTGGGTCAGGTGGACAGATAACAGAAATAAGATAATGTCTGTTGCAGTAAGATCAATGCAAAGGTGATCTCCTGTCAGTAAATGTCTGATTGGTTACCATCATGCCAGCAGACCTTTTAACTGGTGCTCTCTGAAGATGATACTTATGTTGGATTCTACAGGTGACTGCTGCCATTTGGAGCCACTACCACTTGGCTTCACCGAAAGTGTAGAGAGCGGTGGCATATCAGATGATGCCTTTGCCATTTGAGCCATTGAGGACTGGTGTTGTAGGTTTTCCAGAGACATTCAAGGGATACGCTATTGGCATTTAAATACTCATCTGTTCTGTTGTGTGTGTAGATTAGTTCCATAAGATTCAAATTTCATGAACATTTCAGCCAGCATTTAAAACTACACTGCAAATACAAACCTCTGTATATTGTTCATAATTATTTTTAAAGGTATAAGTATTCAAATAGTTATTCCATTCCCTTTGGAAAGAAAGCCACTTCATTAGCTTTTTAAGCAGTGTGTTCCACATTACAACACCTTGCTCTGTAAAACTTCGAGTTTGTGTGATAGCATATGTGTGTCTCATTACTCGGCAGGTACATTGTGCAGCAGAGCGAAAGAGACCAAAATGCTACAGGTTCCAATCCTGCATTTATTCAGCAGTTTGCAGTTGCTATAGAGTCATACAGCACCGAAATACCCACTTCGGCCCAACTCATCCATACCGACCAAGTTTCCCAAACTCAACTAGTCCTGTATGCCTGTGTTTGGCCCATATACTTCTAAACCTTTCCTATTCATTAACCTGTCCAAATGTCTTTTAAATATTGTAACTAACCCTACATCTACCACTTCCTCTGGCAGTCCATTCCACATATAAGCTACCCTCTGTGAAAAAGTTGCCCCTCAGGTCTCTTAAATCTTTCTTCTCTCACCTTAAAAATTTGCCATCTAATTTTAAACTCCCCTACCCTTTGCTGTTCACCTTATTTATGCCCTTCATGATTGGACCTTGTTTATTCATCTGTCCAATAAGCCAAGGGTTTTGAGCTGTCTTCAGTATCTACTCCAGTGAAGCAGTTGTGCATGAATGTTAGGTAAAAAGAGGACCAGACTCTGTCATAATGCCGCTCTTCCTGCCCCACGCCAACAACAGTCAGATAACCAAACTGTCTAAACTCACATATATAATGAGATACTGGAAGGGAGCTGGTGTTCATAGTTCTGTAACCTGGAATCATCAACATCTTCAGAGAGAAAAAATGTTGAGGATAGGGATAAGTAAGTTATTGTAGGTTTTGAGGTGCTAATATGGGGCAGGCCTCCAAGTGAGTTTTAACCAGTCAACAATCTTCTGTTAATAATAAAGGGAAATACAGAGAATCATAGAATGATACAGCACAAAAGGAAACCCATTGTAGATCTACAGGCTCTTCAGCAAGTTTAACCATCTAGCCGGACTCTCCTGTTCTTTCCTCAAAGTCTGTTTACCTACATGTCATCCAGTTTCCTTTTGAATGGTACTATGAAATCTGCTTCCATCCTCCTTCCAGGTAGTGTATTCCAGATCACCACAACTCACTGTGTTTAAAGAAAAAGCTTTATTGTCTTTTACTTTATCCTTTATCCTGATTCATTCACAATTTCATGATTTATTCATTTATGATTTTTAACTTTCTTTCCAATCTCTCCTTATCTTCTCTATTCTAAAGAGAACAGTGCCAGCTTCTCTAGCCTCTTCAAGCCTCTTCATTCTTGATATCACTTTAGAAAATCTCCCCTTCAATCTATCCATCTTTCTTAAAGTGTTGTGTCCAGAGTTAGAAACATAGCAACATGGAAAATAGGAACAGGAAAGGGCTATTTGACCCAGGGAGCCTGCTTCACAATTCAATATGATCTTAGCTGATCATCCTACTCAGTATCCTGTTTCTGCTTTTGCCTCTACACTTTGACCCTTTTGGCCCAAAAACGTCTTCTCTTGAAAACATTCAGTGTTTTGGCCTCAGTTGCTTTCTGTGGAAGAGAATTCCACAGGCTCACCACTCTAAGTAAATGGCCTACCCATGTATCCTTAGATTGTGACCTCTAGTTCTGGACTCTCCGGTCATCAGGAATGTCCTTCCTGTGTTTACTCTGTCTAGCCCTGTTAGAATATGTTAGGTTTCTATGAAACCCTCCCTCATGTAAATAAACTGTAGTGAATAAAGTCCTAACCGATTCAAGCTCTCTTCATGCGTCAGTGGTCCTGCCATCCCAGAATTCAGTCAGCTGCATTCCATCCATAGCCAGAATTTCCTTCCTCAGATAAGAAGACAAAAACTGCACACAGTATGCCAAATGTGTCTCACCAAGGCCCTATATAATTGCTCCTATACTTAAGTACTTTTGCAACAGAGGCAAACATGCTATTTGCCTTCTTCACTGCCTGTTGCACCTGCATGATTACTTGTAACGAATAGTGTACGAGGACACTTGGGTTTCATTGCACCTCCTGCTTTCCCAATCTATTGCTATTCAGATGATGATCCACCTTCCTTTTGCTAATAAAGTGAATACATTTGTCCACATTATACTTCATCTGCAGTTGAACACTGTAGTTCAACTGAGATCTAACCTCACGTGTTTCTAATTGTTTAGCTTAATTAGAAAACAAAAAGATCAAGCAGTATCTTTCCTGATTCGGATGAGGGAGTAATGACCTAAAACATTAATTCTGTTTCTTCCTCTCCACAGCTGCTGTCTGGCCTGTTGAAGGTTTTCTTGCATTTTCTGTTCTTTTTTAATCACAGACTTTTTTATTGCACAGAAGCAGACCATTTGGCCCATCCTATCTAAACCGGCTGTCTGAATGAGGAATGCACCCAGTCACCATATCCCTGCACGTTCTTCCTTTTCAGATAATAATTCAGTTCCCCCGTGAATTCCTCGATTAAACCATTGGCCTTTTTTTTTTAATGTTTGTCTGTTGTTGCTCTCTAGGAAGAGAGGATCCTTTTCCAGCTGGATGAAGCTATTGAAGCACTCGATGCTGCAATTGAGTACAAGAACGAGACAATCACACGTCGGCAGAGGGTGCTGCGAGCGTCTGCCAGCATGCTATCCCAGTGTGAAATGAACCTGATGGCAAAGCTGAGCTATCTCTCAGCATCTGAAACTAGAGCGCTTCTCTGCAAGTATTTCGACAAGGTAAGGGGTGTTTCTCCTTTTATTGTGTACAACTATTCAGCCGCCTTCCCTGTTTATTTGCTAGCAGAGCCTTCTCCAGACAATTACCATCAGGTGGGGAGTAAGGAGGATACTTGGGGAGGGGAACCGTGCAGTCAACACTGACCTTACCACTTCTGGCATCCATGTGCCCAGCCATGAGCTTGGACATTCTACTCACAAGTACATTTTTGTTCATAACGCTGTTTGTACTTTACAGCCGCGTAGCATTTTTTAAACCGCAGCAGTGGGACAATGCTCCTCGCAGCATGTTCTGAATCAGCGTGAATGTGTTCCTGCAGGTGGTAACACTCCGAGAAGAGGAGCGCAAGATGCAGCTGGCATTCATGGAATTGGAGATGCGCGCTGAGGAGCAGCAAAAGCTCGTTTACTGGCTGGAGGCAGCAGTCGAGCGCCAACGCCTCGAGACAGATCGTCGCCTTACTCTCCAGCAGAAGGAACATGAGCGAAACCTGCAACTCCTGCTCCAGCACTGTCGAGGTAGTGACTAACTGTATTCATGGAGCATTCATTGATATAGCACAGAAAGAGGCCCTCTTCTCAAAATGCACTGAGCACCAATCACCGATATACACTAATCCCATTTTCTAGCATTTGGCCTGTATTCTTGTTTGCTTTGACACTTTAAGTGATTAATTAAGTATTTCTTAAAGAGTTCTGCATTGAACCAAGATGTTCTGATCCCAAATCGGTACTATCATTGCTATGTGTTGTTTAATATTGCATGTACTTTTTCAGTTTTGACAATCATCTTTTATAATCACAGCATATGGGCTTGACTCAGATCCATTAGGATTTGGATGGAGTCCATGCAACTCGTTTTATCTGGACGGTTTTCCATTTGAGAGAAGTAGTGTTATGGCCCTGGCCAGACCCCCTCAAAATATTTTAAGAAGGTAGCCTAGACCTTAGCTTTCTCTTATTTTAGAGGCAGAAATGAAGTGCGTGTTCCAGGTGTGATGCAACTGGTCAAACCACTCAGCTTTAAGCAAAACAAAATTTATTTACACGCTACAGTTGAAACACAGACAAAAAAAAACAGAATTTAGAGTAACTTAACTATTGGAAAACCTAACCAACCCAATACAGCAAATTAACTAATTAACTGTTCCAGTATAGTAATATCCCATAAATACATCTCTTGGCAAAGAGGTAAATTCAAACACAGATTCTTACAGGCAGGAGGGAGTAACATCCAAAGAAAGATTGCAGAGAAAGTCAAAGGAATCTTCTACTGAAGCTTGCAACACTTCTGGTACTCAAAACGTCTTGTGACTGCTACAGCTAAAATAAACTAGAAAAAACCCTGACAACAAGGTACAGAGCTGGATGAACACAGCAGGCCAAGCAGCATCATAGGAGCAGAAAGGCTGACGTTTCGGGCCTAGACCCTTCATCAGAAAAAACCCTGAATTGGAGAACTGGCCACTCCCCTTCCATTGTTAAACTGCTACTCCCAAGACTCTTCAACACCTCTTCCCCTATAACTTCTCATCCAAAAAAAAACAAGGACAAAATAGCCTTTTTAAAGTGACAGCATCATCAATAGTACCTTCAGTGCAGCTCTACAATACACCAAGCAGGAGCCTGAATTTTACTGCCACTGCTGAGTTAGCTTTTTTCTGTCAGGCAATGGTAAAAATGCTTCAATCAACCTCAGTGTCCCAGTTTTTAAAAAAATGTCAAAATCAGCCTACCGTCCATCTGAATTCTTCCTGGTCTTTGTGCAGAAAGTGTATGTGCAGAGATGTCCAACAAAAACAGAATTATTTATAAATTTCCAAGTTGAGCATCGTTATTGACGCTCACTAACCTGAATTCATCCATGACCAGCCAGGCGATACTAGCAGCTGCTAAGCATCCATAAAATCACTTTATCACAACATGCCAAAACCTTTGGAAAAGAGACAGGGAATTGACAACAAGGAAGTTTTGTGTTAAAATTTCTGTCAACTGGTGGAACAATCCCAAAGCCTTTGCAGAATCTCATTTTATTTTGTCTTTTCACAGGACAAATGGATGAAGGAATTGCTGGGAGTCAGAGGCAGTACGAGGGCTGGATTCAGATGCTGGAGAAGGAACTTGTCTGGTACAAACGAGCCAACCATGAACTGAACATGAAATTGCGAGAACTGTCTAGTTATCTCGTGAATCAGCCAGCAGAGCAAAGCAAATGTAAGGATCAGAATATGGCAGTGTTACTGAAACTTCAATTAAATTGCAGCTTTCTACACTCATTTCTCAATTATCTCATTTTAACCAGAGAGGAACCACTGTGTAATGCTAAAGAATGTGAAAGATGGTTCCTCTTCCTTTATTATAATTTGTATTTAATTCCTTCTTACTTTCCTCAGTTTCTTTTCATTTATTACAGCTCCTCTTTTAAAAACTGCCCTGTCTGTAATTGAATTTTATGGAGGGTGCACTTACTAGAGCCACCTTTTATTTTTGTCATCTTTTCTACTAATCACAAGTGTCTGATTAGGTGAAGGGGGTTTTACTACTTCTGCTTCTCAGTCATAAATAAGACTGATGATTAATTATATTTAAAGTTGCAATTTATTCACCCTTATTAAATTGAAAGAACATGCATTTATACAGCACCTTTCTTATTTTAAGGAAGTTCCATTGGCTTCACCGCCATTTAAGTGCTTTTTGATGGATTGATTTATTGTCACACATACCGAAATACAGTGAAAAGCTTTGTTTACGAGCAGTACAGGCAGATCGTAGTAAGCAAGATCAAAAAGACTTAGACAGAGGCATACAGGTTACATTGCACAGGGCGTGCGCTAGGCAAGATCGACATTAGCAAGATCAGCATTATTTGAGGCTCGACAGTCCATTCGTCAGTGTAATAACGGCCAGGAAGAAACTGTTCCTGAACCTGCTGGTGCATATGTTCACGTTTCTGTATCTTCTGCCTGACGGAAGAGGTTGTAGAAGATCATTGCCAGGGTGCGATGGGTCTTTGAAGCTGTTGGCAGCTTTTCTGTGGCAGCGAGCCACGTAAATGGAATCCATGGATGGAAGGTTGGCTTCTGTGATGGTCTGGGCTGTGCACACCACCTTCTGTAGTTTCTTATGGTCCTAGGCAGAGCAGTTGCCGTATCAGGCTGTTATGCGCCTGGACAGCTTTCAGTTGTGCATCTGTAGAAGTAGATGAGAGTCCTTATGAACATGTCAAATTCCCTGAGCTGCCTGAGGAAGAAGAGGCATTGTTGTGCCTTCTTGATTGTCATATCTACTTGGGAAGTCCAGGACAGTTCGTCGGTTATCATCACTCTGAGGAACTTAACGCTTTCCACCCTCTCAACATGAGTTCCATTGATGTTCTCCTCCTTCCTTACTGAAACCAATGATCAGTTCTTTAGTTTTGCCGACATTGAGAGAGGGGGCATTCTCATTACACCACATCACCAAGCCCTCTAACTCCCTTCTGTATTTGGACCCGTCGCTGTTAGATATTCATCCTACTACAGTGGTGTCATCAGCGAATTTGTAGATGGCGTTTGTTCGGAATTTGGCAACACAGTCATGGATGTGCAGGAAGTACAGTTTCAGGCTGAGGACTCATCCTTGGGGGGCTCCAGTGTTGAGTGTTATTGTGGAGGAGGTGCAGTTACCTATCTTCAATGGTTGCGGTCTATGGGTCAGCAAGCTGAGGATCCAGTTGCAGAGGCTGGACCCGGGACCAAGGTCATGGCATTTTGATATCAGTCTGGAGGGTATAAAGGTATTGAAGGCCGAGGTGTAGTCAATGAGCAGGAGTCTCCCGTAGGTGTCCTTGTTGTTCAGATGTTCCAGGGGTATGGCATCCGCTGTGGACCTGTTACATCAGTAGGAAAATTGCAGGGGATCAAGGCAGGCAGGGAAGCTAGAGTTGATGTGAGCCATGACCAGCCTCTCGAAGTATTTCACGATTATTGAGGTCAGAGCCACTGGGCAGTCATCATTAAGGCACGTTGCACGTACTTTCTTAGGTACGGGGATGATGGTGGTCTTCTTGAAGCGGGTGGGGACTTCGGCTTGTAGAAATGAGAGGTTGAAGATGTCGGTGAATCCTCCTCCAGTTGGTCCACACAGGATCTGAGTGTTGGGCAGGGACACCGTCCCCATAGTTATTCTTGTTCTGTAGACAAACCCATCAACCAAATTACACAACGCAGGTTCCATTGATACAAAAGAGGAGTTGAGGCTTGGGAGAGATCAGACATGATCTTACAGAGTGGCAGGGTAGGCTTGATGGGGGCAAATACCCTCCTACTGCACCATTCCTTATATGTTCACAAACAGCAACCAGAAAAGTACTGTTTACTTAGTGTTGACAATTATGGTTAAATGATAACTGATGGGCAGGATTCTAGAAAAACTCCCAGTTTTCCCATTAGTTTCACTCGGCAGACTGGATCTCAATTTAACGTCTTTTCTGCACATTACTGCACCGTGTCAGGTTATCTTATAGATTCAAATTCTGCAGTAATGCATGATCCACCAAACTACTGATTGTGATTTGGGAACTTACACATTGGATTGGAGAAAGGCAGCTTATGGGGGAATAAGATTAGATAGACACTTGCAGGCCTTTTTATTCATTAACAGGGTGAGAGCATTGCTGGCTAGGCAGCATTTATTGCCCAATTGCCCAGAGGGCAGTTCAGAATCACCCATATTGCTGTGGGTTTGGAATTACGTGTAAGCAGTTTCTTTCCCTAAAGGACATTAGTGAATGGATGGGTTTTTCCAATAACCGACAATGGATTCATGGTGATCATTAGATTCTTAATTCCAGATAATTTATTGAATTCAAATTCCACCATCTGCCATGGCGGGATTCAAACCCGGGTCCCCAGAATGTTACCTGGGTCTCTGGATTATCGGCCCAGCGATAATACCACTAGGCCATCGCCTCCCCTTCTATGAGGAGACACAAAATGGATGTCCGGTTTCTCCCTGGAACTAAGATAAATCAGTTAAAGTGAAAGGTGTTCGCTGGCTCCCACTTGTGCATTTCAGAAAGTCAGACTATCTGATGATCATCTGGCTTCAGGCCTCGGCAAGAGCACATCAGAAGAGAAAGATGCTGTTTAAAATTAAATTGCATTGTGCTTTTCTCTTTGCTCATTTGGCAGGAATTGTGTGAAATAAAGCTGCTTCTGTTCTGTTTCAGATCTCGGAGTTGTTGGGAGGACTCCTGCCACTGTTGATCGAATACCTGCGCGAGCTGGAAGAGAAGAAAATGGGAATAACATTCTACCAGATCAAACATCTGTGTTGTCAACTGCTCTGGAGCATGTTCCCAAACCCAAAGAGGATCTCCGAGATCTGATCCATGCACCTCTGCCACCCACTTGGCGAAGGTCATCCCTTCCTACAGAAGATCAGTCTGGGCTTGATGAACTGAGACTACGGGACTCAGTGGAACAACCATGCCATCGGATGGTGCAGCCTGCAGAGGGTGCTATGCACTGGAGTTTTGCACCTATGCAGAAATCTCAAAAAACATTCAGACAAGCAAGTCTCAATTCAAACATTTCTTATTTCAATTCTGGGATAATTGATGTCCGAAAAAATCCAGTGGGATAGCTGAACGGCACAGAACATTGAAGACAACTCGCTTTGAAGAAAAGCATTTTTATTCCAAAAATTGCTACAAAGCAGTTCATATTGAACAGGAAAACAGTTTAGAGCAGAATTTTGGAGAGCAATGGAAAAATAAACTTGTTTCAGTTCACTTTTTGACCACACAAAATCAAAAAAAAGTATGATTATTACAGTAAGCATGAAGCCAGAGGACAGAAGCACAGCAGAATGAGTGATCCAAAATAACACTGGGTGACTAATTCCGCTATCAAGAGATGAACTGAGCAAGCATACTAATGGAGCTTCGGAGTCCTCTGGTTTAGATCTGATTGCTGTTCTTACAGGAAAGGATCAAAGTCATCTCGAACATCTTTTAAAAAAATGTATACCTTTGCTTTTGTATGTGTCTTTTGTTTGTGTTTCTAAACGTTGTGCATATCCTATATTTGAGTGGTTGTGTGTTTTGTTTTAATATGCATAAAGTTGAGAAAAGGTGGAAATTTGTAATACTTTTGTTCACTTTGCTGTTTAAAGCCCACTTTATGGCCACTGTGTCCACATTTGATGTGGATGTCATTTCATAATACTTTAATTCCTGGTTTCGGAAGATTTCCTTACAGTTATCACCCAAAAGCTGGTTGTTATAATAACAAATATGCTGCTAAAACTGTATATTATCCTTGGTTACATATTGAGATGACACATTTCAACAGGGAGCAAATCATGTGCATATGAAGCACCAAATTTGCAGTTGTTGCAAAGTGGACAAACACTTTGGCTATGTGCTGAGAATCCAGCATACCAATTCACTTAGTATTTTTCAGAAAAATTACTTACACATTGATTTCCTAGTGTCTTCCAATAAATGTTGGTTAAATTCTGTTATGGGCAGAGATAGTTTTGGAATTAAACATTGACCTTTTGCCTTTAGCATATGGATTAAAATCTAGATATCAGGTTGTGAAAACAATTATTTTGGAGCTGAGACCAGAGGAAACCTAAAGGAATATCAGCTTTATTTTTATACAACTTCAAAACCTTTATGTAACTGAGACAAAATTATGGTTTACAAGATTGAGCATGTAACCTTTGAATGTCACAGGCTCTATCCACGTCAAAAATTGAACAAATAAAATGATTTCTGTCTTTTGTAAACATTTTTAAGTTGTGTAGTCACTGTATTTGCTCTGTTTTGTAATTTTTAACTCTTGCTGTGCAAGAGTTGTATTCTTGTTACTTTGCCTTAAGTAGAAATGCAGTCACGTCTTTATTATTGTCTCTCGGGTGTAATGTCCAGCAGAATCGGATGAATTGGCTCCCCTCTTTTTTCAACCTCCTCAGCTGGTCCGACCACATATTGTTTTGATTTAGCACAATGCCTAATCACTCTGTAATTAAAATGTGGTTAACCAATTTCTACTGTGTCAGGAAAGAGCCAGTTGCAAGGTTCTCAAGTGAAAGAAAAGGCAATTTTATTGTTTGCCAACTCTGAGAAATAATGACATTGCAATGGTAAGTGCACAATGCACAGGTACAAAATTAAACAGGGTTAGTGTCCAGTACAAAAAGATTTTCAAAATGACACACAGTTTAAAGTCCTAAAGGTGTCAATGATGCATAAGATTTTAATCTGAGAGGACAGTTGGTCAGTTGGTGTCTTGAACCCTTAGCAATAGTGAAGAATGTGTACCCTAGTTCATTTCCTGGTGTTCTGATGTTTTTCTCCAATTAGTTTTGTTACTGACAGTTTCCTCTCACGATAGAGGCACAAGGAGCACTTTCTTCAGCCAATTCCACTTCTGCAGTCAAAAGTCCATCTCCACTTCTCTGCCAAGTGCAGTCCCTTGAAACACAAGCTGGTTTGTGTGTTTTCATAGATAACAAGGTGTAGAGCTGGATGAACACAGCAGGCCAAGCAGCATCATAGGAGCAGGAAGGCTGACGTTTCGGGCCTAGACTCTTCATCATGTCTGATTTCATTGTCTGCATGCTTGATAATAGGAGAAAAAAACAAAGAACTGTGGGTGCTGGAAATCAGAATCAAAAACTGAAATTGTTAGAAAAATTCAGCAGTCCTGGCAGGATTTGTGGAGAGAAAAAGTGACCCTTCTGCAGAACTGTACAAACTGTCCAAAGTTCTGAAGAAGGGTCACAACCCAAAAAATTAATCTGCTTTCTCTCCACAGATGATACTGGACCTGCTGAGTTGGATATGTTTTCATATCCAATATGTGACATTGTATGATAAGTGTAATTTAAAATAGATGAGAGCTTTTTCATGCCTAACTGTTGGGTAGTATCAGTATCCTCATGAAAATATAAAAATTTGTGTCATAGTTTTGTTTATTTCATGTTGTTTCATGAAATTTGACTAACCTATGTGGTCAAGTGATTGCTTTAATCATTTTAAGTCAGTGTTTTTTCCTTTATTTTAAAGCACCATTTCAGTCCACAAAAGGGTGAGATGTTAAATTAGATGATGGAATTCAGAAATCAATACTCAATGTTTTATTTCATTATGACATTTAGACTCTGCATACAGAAACATGCCTCTTCGGTTTGTAAATTCTCTCAGTATCAGTACATATTCTCAATGGTATGGTGCACAAATCAGTGCATTACCTGTCCATGTTCTTACATATTTGCACAAGGACACAATACTTATGTACATACGCACATTACTTTACACCAGTAGATCTTTCCTTAGTAGTATCCCATACCCTGTTGTCACGTAACTCTGTAGAACTTGGAGGGAGTTAGCAGCATTGATGAGTTCAGATCATCCCTTCATCTGTAGATGTGTGCTGCAGGACTAGTCCCAACGTGTTTGTGGCATTGGTCTCCAAAACTGGGAATCTTAAACTGCTTGATACTTTCCCAGTTCTGGGTAAAGTCCACGTACTGTAACAGTATGCTATAAACATCGCAAGGTATCAAATCCACATAGTTGTGGTGGGATAATGGTGCTTTCTATAGTTTGAGGGAGTAGCTGGATCTTCATGCAGCCAATCATTAGAGTTGTACTGGTGTCTGCATCTCAGCTGAGATCTCACAGCTCAGGGGACAGGCTCAGCCATGGCATCAGTCCTGTTAGTCACTACATTTCTGGCATCCTGGAGCACTTCCAAAAGGTTGAATTCCAGGGCAGTGTTTAAAGTTTGTGTGGCCGTGCATGAGAGTGTTCAATTGAGAGAATGGGAAGAGATTACAAACTTTCTGATTTCTGAAAAGGGTCTAGGCCCGAAACGTCAGCTTTCCTGCTCCTCCGATGCTGCTTGGCCTGCTGTGTTCATCCAGCTGTACACTTTGTTATCTCGGATTACAAACTAATTGAATTACAATTGAAGGACTTGTATTACAAGGAAACATTGAATAAGTTGGGCCTATAACCATTGAAGTTTAGAATGGGAGTCTTTTATTGAAACCTATGTGATCTTGAGGGGACATGAAACAATGGATTCCAGTAGGATGTTTCCTCTTGTAGGACAGACTAGAACTAGGGGATGCAGTTAACTGATGAGGTGAAGTTGAGAATTTTTCTTTGAGGATTGTTAGAATATGAATTCTGTTCCCCAGAAAGTAGTGGAGGCTGTGTCGTTGAATTTATTTAAGGCAGAGTTAGATTATTGACTTAGCAAGGAAGTCAGCAGTTAGCGTGTGCATGCTGGAAGTGAAGTGAGCACAGTAAGATCAGCCTTGATCTTTGTGAGTGGTGGAACTGGCTCAGAGAGCCAAATTGCCGCCTCCTGCTTCTAAGCTCTCTGTTCCTGTGGAGTGCATATCCTGGAATGAGCTAGAATAAACATAATTGTAGAATTTAGCAAAACTGAGTAAACCGTAAATCTGAAGAAGGGTCTAGACCGGAAACGTCAGCTTTCCTGCTCCTCTGATGCTGCCTGGCCTGCTGTGTTCAAACAGCTCTACATCTTGTTATATAAACAGTAAACTGTCTTTCTTCCTGGAATGTTCTATACTTATATTTCATTTGGACCTATTCTTAAACTGTTCCCTGTAATTCAGAACAATGGGATCCATTATCTTTTGTTCATTGTTGTACAATTTAGGGAATGAAAACACAGTGACCCTGCTTGCTTAAGTCCCAACCATCTAGTTGGACATGAGATTGAAATCAGTGCAGGCATTGTCATGCAAAAAAATTTATCATGCACTGGAGAGTCTTGATTGTTCTGATTGCCTAGGAGTGGATTAGGTCAGTACAGTTTTTATAACACAAAGAGACTTTAAAAGAATTTGGATCAAACTGATTATTTATCTGCCTACTTTGGGTTTCCATGGGAACATAGATGCTTTTGTTAGCTCTGCTATTCTCTCTCACTTTTGTTGAATTGACATTTTCATATTATCCAGGCCAGATTACTGATAATTGTTGTAATGAAAACTCATTGACCTGAAATGTTAACTCTGTTTTCCTATTGCAGATGATGACAGTTCTGCTCAGTATTTGTAGAATTTTCTGATTTCACTTCAGATTTCCAGTGTCCACAGGGTTTTGGTTTCCCCTCTGTTCTCATCAGTATTGATAAATCCCCAGAACTGTGAGTTGCCTGTGCCAGAGCAGTTTAAAATCCTAATGGTGTAATGTGCTAGAGTGTATTTACTTCAGTTAACATTAATTAAGCAGTTAGTAGAACACAGGATGAATTTTAGGTAATCAATTTCATAGAGTCACAGATGTACAGCACGAAAGTAGACCCTTCGGTCCAACTTGTCCATGCCAACCAGATATCCTAAATTAATTTCATACCATTTGCCAGCATTTGTCCCATATCCCTCTAAACCCTTCCCATACATGTACCATCCAGATGCCTTTTAAATGATGTAATTGTATCAGCCTCCTCCTCCATCTCGGGCAGCTCATTCCACACATGCATCACCCTCTGCGTGAAAATGTTGCCCCTTAGGTACCTTTTAAATCTATCCCCTCTCACTTTAAACCTATGCCCTTTAGTTCTGGACTCCCAACCCCGGGGAAAATACCTTGTCTATTTAACCCATCCATACCCCTCATGATTTTATAAACTTTTATAAGGTCACCCTTCGGCCTCCGGCACTTCAGGGGATACAGTCCCTGCCTATTCAGCCTCTCTCCATAGTGCAAACCCTCCAACCCTGGCAACATCGTTGTAAATCTTTTCTGAATCCTTTCAAGTTTAACAACATCTTTCCTATAGGAGGGACACCAGAATTGAATGCAATATTTCAAAAGTGGCCTAACCAATGTCCTATACAGCTGCAAAATGGCCTCCCACCTCATATACTCAATGCACTGACCAATAAAGACAAGCATAACAAATGCCTTGTTCACTGCCCTCATGAGAAACAACAGAAATTCATGTGCTCATGCACAAGGGAGAGCTGTGGTGGAAAATGTTGTGTATTAGAGGGAGAGAAAGAAATAATTGGGGGCCAAATGATTCCATGGTTCTGTTATTTCCTTTCATAATGGTGCTCCTGCATGTAAATTAATATTTGAAAATCAGATTTCCAAACAAATTAAAGTGCAGCACGTCACTGAGTATCTACAAGCAAGAACTACTGTTGACAGACAAACCTGCACTCTTGTGCTACACTAATAGCCTTGTGTAACCCTCATGATAACTATAATGGACAGACATTAGTTAACTGATTTAAATTTTTAATCCAATTAAAACAACTCAATACCCCTCCCACTTTGAAATGATGAATTTTACTGAGTTTTTTCTTTTCTCTTTCGAGCCACATTACAAAGTTTCTTTAATAGTAGGACTGTCATCACTATAACCATGAGGAACAGTGACAGCAGGAAGATCATCACGTCCACACAATAGTAAACGTACCAGGGGAGTTGGTAAGATGCTGAACGCAAATGTGCTGCCCCCTTGTTTCGGGCAACGTACTCAACCCAGAAAATAGCTCTCTCCATTGGAGACTGAAATTGGTCTCTGTGGAGAGCAGAGAGTTTCTGCATGTTCTCCCGATATGATGTGTTATGTATAACCTCATTAACTGCCTGCAATAGATCCATTGACTGCATGGTTGTGACGCTAATAACTTTTGCTGCACCTCGGATTTCAAGTCTGAGTAAATTATCAAATTGATCATAAAATAGAGGTATGCCAACTACTGGCACCCCATGATAGATGGCTTCATAAACCCCATTGGTGCCGCCATGGGCAATGAAGACTCGTGTCTTCGGGTGCCCTAGTAGATCATTCTGAGGGATCCATTTTGCAAGTAGTGTATTATTTCCAATGTTGGGAGGGATCTTTCCATCATGTCTCCAGATAACCTTCTGAGGTACTTGAGCAAGACCCTCTGCTATTTTCATTGTAATACGCATTGGCAAAGAGTTGACTAAAGTCCCCATTGATATGACAATAATCCCATGTTCGCCTGAGGACTGAACAAACTCTTCAAACTCTGCCTCCAGAGGTTTGGATGGTTTACACTGGAATCCTCCAATATAAACAATATTTGGCATGGTGGGCCTCGGGAATTCAAATATGAAATCGACTCTCATTAGCCACACATCTGCCCTTTGGAGAACAGTCTCGATATCTGTGTCTGGGCCTAGATAACGATGGCAGAGTTTGTTGTAAATTGGATACGTTAGAAAATTTGAAATTGCCAGTTGAACAAGATTTAGGATAACATTTTGTGTTCTTTGGAGAAAACTCATTTTGTCTGTCAATTGTGAGCCAGGAATTGGGACATAGGAAGCTGGTGATGGGGCAGAAAGAAACTGAGCTTCTCCAGAGGTGATCCATCGAACGTTATATACCAAAGGGAGTTTTAAATAATAAGCAAGCATTGGACCTGTAGCAAATACAGGATCGGTAAGTACTAAGTCAAGATGCTCATTTTCAAGTTGATTTAACAAACTTCTGTTTTCAAAAATTGCAGTATTGAACACCATAGCCCAGTGGTGACAGGCATGCATAAAATACATGATTTCATATTGGAACTTAACAAAGCCCCATGGTGTCCAACCATCTTGTAAGGCTTCAAGTATCTTTTGTATCATATCAAGCATAACATCTTCACTATTATTTTTCCCAACAATCCCTTCCATTTCAATTATGACAGATTGATATAGATCAGGCCTCTCTTTGATGTACCATGATTTTGAGAAATAAAGCACGGTGAAGCTGTGCCCGCGGAGTTTCAGTTCTTCGATTAGAATTCTCATATTGAGCCAGTGACTTCCATCAATTGGGACAACCAATATATTAGCTCCCTGGATAATTGGGCAAGACAGGGTGAAGTAGACAGTTAGAATGCATGCAACCTGGAGTTTGTTCTTCCATGCAAGACAATCCATATTAACAGCAAATGATATCCTGATCCTGTTGAAGAATCGAAGAGAAGTATTAGTAAAACTCCTAAATCTCTCCAATCTGGAATGTTTTCAGACCTAGTCATTTTTGTATTTCTGGAATACAGAATGATATTCAAATACCTAATCGCAAGTTTGGAGCCAGAAAACACTGTCAATATAAATATTTACCTGAATCGTGAAACACTAATGAAATATTATATAGAAGTGGTAAAAATTGTTCTCCATATCCAAATACTGTATCTGCCATGTTTCTGATCAGCACAATGCTGAGTGGTTGCTTGGGCCACTGAATATTTCCAGACAGCATGTGTTTCAAGCAAGATTTCTGATTGCAGGGATTAGAATGTACATTATAGGTTTAAAAAGAATATCATAAAAAAGACCAGAAGTAGGCCATGTGATCCTGTAAACTTGCTTTAGACAATAACTAAACTGTCAACTCCACTTTTCACCTGTCCCTTGATTTTGTAAGTGCCCCAAAATCAAACAATATCGGTATTGAATGTATTTAACAACTGAGTGCCAGCAGTGCTCTAGTGTGTACAGAATTCCAAAGATGCACAGACTTCCATGAAGAACTTGGCTGATAGAATTCAGAATTTCACAAAGCTACTCAAAGGATTGAAACTCTACAACAGATTGAGAGCTCTCTCACCTAGGGTTTTGCCAGCAACTAGCAACTTTAGAACACAGAACTGTACAGCACAGGAACAGGCCCTTCAGCCCACGATGTTGTGCCGAACGTGACGCCAAATGAAACAGATCCCTTCTGCCTGCCCTTGGTCTATATCACTCCATTCCTTGCATTTCATGTGCTTATCTAAAAGTCCTTTAAATGCCCTTGTCATATCTGCCTCCACCACCACCACCCCTGGCAGTGTGTTCCAGAGTCCTACCACTCTCTATGTAAAAAAACTTGCCCCTCACGTCTGCTTTGAACTTCCTCCCTCTCACCTTAAACAAATGCCCCTAGTATTAGACATTTCAACGCTGGGAAAAAGATTCACACTGTCAACCCTACCTATGCATCTCATAATTTTGTAAACTTCTATCAAGTCTCCCC